AGACTGTCTTTTATTTTTATTCATTTATTTTATTGATTTTAGAGAGAGGAAGGAAGAGAGAGAAACATTGATATGAGAGAAAAACATCAATCCGTTGCCTCCCAAAATCTGGGTATGTGCCTTGACTAGAAATTGAACCCACCACCTTTTGGTGTACGGGACAGTGCTTCAACAAACTGAACCTCAATGGCCAGGATTACAGACTGCCTTTCAAAGAACAGAGAATCAATCATGAGAGATTTTTTAAAACTACATTTGTATTTCAGAGAAGGGAGAGGAAGAGAGAGATGGAAACAACATTGATGAGAGAGAATCATTGATCAGCTGCCTCCTGCACGCCCGCTACTGGAGATTGAGCCCACAACTCAGGCATGTGCACTCCTGGTTCATAGGTCGATGCTCAACCACTGAGCAACACTAGCCCGGCAATCATGAGAGATCTTGATAGAATTTTGTATTTAAAAAATCACGGAGTCTTAAAGTTGGATTCTCATTGTACTCCTTATCTGTCTTTCCTTCAATCTTTCAATCTCAGAAAATGGTAGCATCATTTGATTAGCTGTCCAGGCCAAAAACCTGAGAGTCATTCTTGATTTCTGTCCTTCCCTTTTCTCTCATCTCTTGCATTTAACTCCTCACCAAGTGCTGTAGCTCCTATCCCCGCCCCCCACGCATCTTGAACTCTATTCCTTTCTGTCCATCTACTTCAGCCTACTTAGTCCATCATTATTTCTTTTCTTAGGTAGGACTCCTTCCTATCTAGCTTCTTAACTGATTTCCCTGCCTCCATGTTTTTTCCCTTTTGACTTATTTTCCATATAACAGTGAGCATGATCTTTTAGAAGTGAAAATCAGATCATGTCACTCTCCTGTTATAACCTTCAGTAGATTTTCATTGCGCTCATTTCATAGCTAGCTCCTCTTCTTTTAGGCCACAACTGAAATATGCCCCTTTAAGATGCCTTCCTTAATGCCCATTCTACTGTTTTCTCCTATAGCATTTCATTGTTTCCTTCACAGGTCTTATGATTTGTAATTACATTTTTACTTGTGTTTTTTTTTGTTTGTTTTCTATACTAGACCATAATTGCAAAAGCCATAGGGACCATGCCTGTCTTGTCAACTTTTTTATACCTAGCACCTAGCACATTGCTACGATCATAGCAGGTGAATAATAAATATTTGAATACACGAGTGAAAAGAAACTTGAATGATTTTCTAATCCTACTGTCCACCCAGTGTAAGAGTCTTGGCCATCTCTGGCAAGTGATTGTCAGCTTGTTTTTGAACGCTTTCAGAGATGGGCAGCTTAGTGTTTTATGTGGTAGCCTATGACCTTGTTTAGTAATTCTGATAGTTTGAAAGATTTTCTTATTTTGGGCTTAAAACTGCTTTTCTTTTTTTTTCCAACTGTTGATCCCAGTTCTGCCCCTCTCTGACACCCTTTAAACTGTTTGACAGCAACAATCATATGTTCTCTTAGTTTTGTAAACGCTGTACTTTTCATCATGTGACATATGGTTCTTCACCCTTACCCCTTTGTGTATATACATTTTGTTAGGGTAACTTTAAAAGTGGTATATTGAAGGATAAAGATGTTCATGATCTTTGGTCCTATAATTCATGGTTAAATAATTTGTAGCACATTAGTTCAATATAATACATTATAGCCATTAACAATAAATGTAATGATAGAAATGTGGGCAATATTTATAAAATGATATTTTAAAAATAGAATATTAAATTATATCTAGATCATTTTTATAGCCAAATGAGTGTGTAGATGTGATTTCGGGGGGTATAAAAAGTAATGAGAAAGTTGTGTTAAGGTGGTACAAGATGGTTTCAAATAAAGAGCATTTTATAGTTAGTTTAATAATAAAGGAGAAAATGGAATGCTCAGAACTATTAATGTCATTCCAACTAGAGGTAAGTGAGACTTCAATAGCCTGCAATAACTCTTTTGGTTTCGATACTGAAAGAAACTGAAATACAAATGGTAGATTAAATTATTGCATCAATGCTAAATTTAGTCAAGTTCATAACTGCACAGTGGTTACATTAAAAAAATTCTTATTCTTAAGAAATACATATGGAAATACATATTTTTATATTTTATGCAAGAGAGCAAATGGTAACCAAATGGCATAAAATATTAACAACACGTAAATCTGGATAAAGACTATACAGATACTCTTTGTACTCTTCTTACTCTTGCAACTTTTATTTATTACATCTAGTTTTATTTAAAAGTTTCTTATAAGAAGCTATTTTTATCTGATTTATCTCTTTTTCAAGGCTTATCTGTCTTCCTCAGGCACATTTTGTGATTCATAAAATGGAATGAAAATAAACAACAGGCTTTTTTTTTTCCCCTAGAAATAATAGCAAGATTTGAAAAGACAGAAGAGAGGATAAATTCTTTGTTTTTTTTGTTTGTTTGTGTATTATGATAGCCTCTAGCCACATGTAACTATTTAAAACTCGGTTCATATAGATTTGCGGTGGAGTGCGGGAAACGTGTAAACTCGGGCCGATTGTAACTGCGTATTACCAAATATTTGTTTGTAATCCACCCTTTTGGTGGATGGAACAAAACCAAAAGACAGAGCCATCTTATATTTTGGCGGGAAATTCACCCGCACTCCAAGTGTTAAATGAGTTAAAATTAAATAAAAATAAAAATTCAGTTCCTTAGTCACCCTCACCATATGTACTCAGTGACTACATGTGGCTAGTGACTACTGTATTGGACAGGAAAAGATATAGAATATTTTCATTATCAGAAAGTTCTATGGAAAGTGCTAGAATAAGTAATTGTTTTGGGATGGGATTAGTCATGAGAGGAGGGAGCTGATTTCCGGGTGCATCACCCGAGAACCACCCTCTTCCAATTCAGGACCCCTCGGGGGATGTCAGAGAGCTGGTTTCAGCCCCATCCCCGCAGGCCAGGCTGAGGGAACCTCACCTGCTGGAGGGACCCTGC